TGTTATGTCTTTGATCATGGTAACTTTGACAAAACTAACATGTAGAGACAGATTTGTGCTGGCCCCAAATGATTCCATGTGAGCACACATCTGCCTAGATAGTTATGTGGACCTTCTCTGCTTTCTCTGTTTACATTTTCTAAGGCCTGAACACCTTGTATTCACTTCTGGGCCTTCAACAGAGTGAGTGTACTGATGCCCTGGGATGTACCTCTCATGTTATCACCAGATCATATACACTTCCTGTTACTCTGTTCAAAGACAGGATAACAGCACAGTGGCTTAATGTTACTTATCACAGTCTTTCATGAATGTGTGATTCAGGCTGCAATTGAACCCAGTGAGGGGGCCATTTTATACCTGGTATGCTCCAAGGGCCACATGGTCAGATTAATATAGCAAAGGTGACCCTGCTGGTACCAATGTTTGGTATTACTTGCTTTTCTTGTTGCTTCAACACTATACTTAACAAAAGGAACTTAAGGAATGAAAGGTTTGCTTTGGCTCATGGTTACAGGGTGCAGTCCACCATGGAGAAAATGTCATGGTGGCAGGAGCTTCATGCAGCTGGCACCTTGCATCTGCAGCCAGGAAGCAGAGACACATGGATACTGGAGTCCTTCCTAGCCTTCCCCTTGTATTCCTTCTCATGTCACAGACAACACAATGGTACTGTCCACATTCAGCAGGGGTGTTCTCAACTCAAATAGACAGTCTTGAAATTCTTTCACAGACATGCCCAGAGTGTTGCCTCCTAGGGGATTCTAGACCTTGCCAAGTTGACAAACAATATTAATCATTACACCCAGGCAGAGACAAAGTTGAAGGAAGCCTATAGAATCTATGGAACATTATCTATGGAAACTGGGGAACTCCTGGTATGTGTCTGGAGGAAATAAGCCAATAAAAGAGACACCTATAGAGCCATGTACAATTTGGCATTAGTTAAAAAGCCAAGAAATGGAATCATAGGTCTGCCAACAATGGATAAACAAAGAAGTGTGTGTGTGTGTGTGTGTGTGTGTGTGTGTGTATGCAATGAAGTAGGTCCTGCCTTAAAAAAGAATGAAATCCTGTAATTTTCATTAATTTACATATTAATGTAGGATATCATGCTAAGTGATACATCCCTGACACAGAAAGACCATAATAGGATATTTCCCCTCCTATGTAAACAAACAAAGATGGCCTAAAATAGAAAATATGAATATAAGGAAATCTGAACAAGACAGCCAAAAGTGGGGAGAGACTATTGAGGAAACACCATGGAAAGTAGCTAATGTGATCCATACATAATGTAAGCATTTCCAAAAGTGTCACAGTGGATTCTAATCATTTGTGCAATTAATATGTTTTAATAATTGTAATTTAAAAATAAATATATTGTGAAGTATCTGCCTGATAGAAGAATGATATATTTAAAACTTACATGACAGACATTATGATGAGTTCATTCAATTTTTCCAATATGAGTTGGTCATCCTCATTTCATGGTGAATATAGTTTAAAGGGTTATACCGGCTTTTCATACCAGTTCATGTCCAAGATTCCTGACATTTGCTTCACATGATCAACCCAGGTTCAGAGAGGAAAGACAATTGGGTTTAATTTCTGCCAATTGCCCTTCAAACATAGGCTCAAATTCTCTGGATTACATGTCTCTAGCTCTACCCTTCAACTTTGAAGCTGTGACTATTCCTTTCATAAAAGCACAAAACTAAGAAATTGTGCAACCTTTTGTGTTAAACAACCTTCCACATAGGCAACTGAGGATCTGTTAGCGTGATGGAGATTGCCAAGGGAGGATTCCATGGAGAGAAATATGAAGGTGCATTGGTATCCATGTTCCCTTCTGTCTCCTCAGCTCCTGATGGGAGCATGTAACATAATGCTTCCTCACTCTCTTTATAAAGCTAAGTACATCTGGGAGCTTTAGAAGCCCTGTTCAAGGATGGCAAGTATGTTCTAGGATGTGTTTGTGCTAGGACTGGTGAGCTGAGTGTTCTCTGAAACATCTAACACCAGAGAATGGGTGGAGTGAGTTGTGATAAAACAGGAGTAATGGGTACATTTGAGGACACACTCCCTCCAAGGTGTAGCTAAGCACATGAGTTGTTTCCTGGAAAGACTCCTGGGATTTTTCTGAACTTGGGTCTTCCAAAAGAAAAGCTTGGCATGAAACACTGTCTTCATGGTCTTCTGGAGTATATTGTAGAAGAGTGGGTGTGAGGGAGGAGTCAGAGAGGACCACAGTAAGAGAGTGGTTTAGGGAGGCTCCAGCATAGGCATCTTCAGAAAATTCAAACTTTCCATGGACTTGAAGGACTGAAAACACGCCCAGAGGAAACCAATGCCACATCAGCAGTATATCATATGAGGAGTTTTTCTTTCTCCCATTCCATGAACAAAGCTTGAAGGTATCATAAAAAAAAGAATTGGTATGTCTGGAGGAAATACAGCAGGTATATAAAATAATTTCACTTTGCTCACTATTTACTTATAGAGTGGAATCCCTCAAGCCAAATGGATGAATGGCAACTGGGAGAAAAGTTGCAAGAAGTGGGGGAACTTCCAAGTAAATTTTGGAGAAAATTCTCAATTTTGAGGAAGTGGATTCTTTTTGTTTGGACTCTGAGAAAAAAATAGAAGACTGAATGCAAACGAATAGGAAATAATAATTTGATTAAGTTACAGAGACACTTTAAGAAAGAACAAGGCTGCTTTCTTCTTACACAGAAATAGATACAGAATATTAACTATGATAAAATTAATACAATGGTTATGTTGAGGAGTAAAAGTAACTCTTAAATAAAAGGGTTCAACTAGGTTATTTTGTAATTATAGGGTTAGAGATACATTTTGTTATTGTTCTAAGTTTTTCCTAAGTATCAATACTAAAATTCTAAGAATAAATGAAAGAATGTTAACAGCACATTTGAGTATGCAATGAAATAATACAAACTATATTGAATGATGGCATGAGGAACATTAGTGTGCTGTCTGTGATCTACAAGGAAATAGTACTGAGGCTTTCTATTATAGAATGCTAGGCATACTTCAAGAGGATCTCCCTAGAGGACCTAATTAACTATAATGTAAATGAGCTGTATTTCCCAATGAGTTTCCAATTCCAAAGTGGGAGAGAGACCATTATCATCACAGAGTAGCCCAAGGAGAGACTTATGACTCAAGTTCTGCTATGTAGATGCAGGTGGGTAGGTCTTATCAAGAGATGTGAACAATCTAAAGTTCAACTCTTCATAGTGAGAAGGAAAGGGTAGCACAGAATATTTACCAAGAATTTGAAAATAGAATGGAGGTAGCTTCCCTCCAGATTAGCATTGGAAGGCTCCACACATTTCATTTAGAGGTTGGGTACCAGGTCCTATATGCTGGGGAGCTCCGTTTAGACAAGCTTTCACTGTACAATAGTGTGTGTGCATGCGTGTGTGTGTGTGTGTGTGTGTGTGTGTGTGTGTGTGTGTGTGTGTGTGTGTGTGTTTGTGTGTGTTATTTTATTAATTTAGCAGCTAGGCTAAATCATACTTTATTAATCAGTGCCTCTTATTTGCAAAAGGGATCAGGGGACCCAAAAGTACATTGTTTTAACAAATATACAAGGCAGTTAGATCATTTCACCAATAAAACACATTGTTTTTTGTTTGTTTCTTGAAACAAGTCTCTAGCCCAAGCTGGTTTTGAACTCACTATGTAGCAAAGTAAGACCTTAAACACCTGATCTTCCTATCTGCCCTCCATATGCTGAGATAACAGGCATGAGCCACCTCACCAGGTTTGGGCAACACTTGAACCTAGGGCATCATTAATGCATGTTAAGCACTCTACCAAGTGAGCTACAATCACATGCGCTATAAATACACACTTTGAATAAAGTAAAACATTGATGTGTGAGTCAACTTATAAACTCAAATTGAGGTTTTCATTTGCCACACGACATTTCCTGTGCCTTGTCAACTCTCCTGTTGCTCTACCTACCGAATCTCATCTAAACCCTGCATTTGATCAAACACAGACACAGACAGGGTTCCTGTTTCCCCAGCTGTAGATACGGAACCATTTCTATAAACATACATAGTGTTACCAGCTTGCATTGAAACCTATATCAAGAAAGCATTATACCCACTGATGTTATTCTGTGAGTTATCATTTAACCAAAGTGCCTTGTCACAGCCCTGGGTTTGATATGATCACCAGCCAAATATGTTATAGTAAGAAATTACCAATACGGAGTCAGGTAGAAATATAAGGGTATTTAATAGGGAAAAGCCTTACTTACAGAGCGAACCAGCCAGCCGGTGGTA